AAATATGTAAAATAAATAGAGAAATATAATTATTACATAGTACTGAATATATAAAAATCCCATTTTGATTTAATGGGAAAATACAGTTTGTGACTTGGAGATTTCACTTAATCATCTTAGAGTTCTTTCTAGGAAAACGCAGGTCTGCTTCATTTATTATTTATGTATTTATTTATTTTCATTTTTTTGAGACAGGGTCTTGTTTTGTCACTGAGGCTGGAGTGCAGTAGCATGATCACAGCTCACTGCAGCCTGGAACGCCTGGGCTCAAGTGATCCTCCCATCTCAGGTTCCCAAATAGCTGGGAGGTTACAGCCATGCACCATTGCATCTGGCTAATTTTTAAAAATTTCTTTGTAGAGATGGGATTTTTCTATGCTGCTCAGACTGGTCTCCAACTCCTGGGCTCCAGTGATCCTCCTGCCGTGGCCTCTTAGATTGCTGGGATTACAGGCATCCATTTTTATTTTTAATTACGGTAAAATGGACATAACAAAATTTAGCATCTTAACCATTTCTAAGTGTATAGGTCAGTAGTGTGAAGTACATTTACATTGTTGGGCAACCAATGTCCAGAACTCTTTTCATCTTGTAAAACTATCCCCATTAAACAATAAGTCCTCATTTTTATCACCCCCAGCCCCTGGCAACCACCTTTCTGCTGTCTTTATGAACTTAAGTACTTTAGGGATCTCATACGAGTGCAACATACAGGACTCGTGCTTTCATAACTGGCTTATTTCACTTTGCGTACTTTTCTCAAGGTTCCCCATGTTGGAAATTGTGTTACGATCTCCTTCCTTTCTTTTTTTCTTTTCTTTTCTTTTTTTTTTTTTTTCTTGAAACAGAGTCTCGCTCTGTCACCCAGGCTGGAGTGCAGTGGCACAATCTCTGCTCACTGCAACCTCTGCTTCCTGGGTTCAGGCGATTCTCCTGTCTCAGCCTTCTGAGTAGCTGGGACTACAGGTGCATGCCACCAAGCCCAGCTAATTTTTGTGTTTTTAGTAGAGATGGGTTTCATCATGTTGGCCAGTATAGTCTCGATCTCCTGACCTCGTGATCCACCCGCAAAGTGCTGGGATTACAGGCATGAGCCACCTCACCCAGTCTCTTTTTGTGTGTGTTTTGTTTATTTGTTTGTTTGAGACCAAGTCTCACTCTGTCACTCAGGCTGGAGTACAGCGGCACGATCTCAGCTCACTGCAACTTCTGCCTCCTGGGTCGAAGTGATTTTCAAGCTTCAGCCTCCCAAGCAGCTAGGACTACAGGTGTGCGCCACGATGCCTGGATAATTTTTTGTATTTTTAGTACAGACAGAGTTTTGCCATGTTGGCCAGGCCAGTCTCGAACTTCTGGCCTCAAGTGCTTTACCCACATTGGCCTCCCAAAGTCCTGGGATTACAGGTTTGAGCCACCATACCCAGCTTCCTTCCTTTCCAAGGCTGCATAATATTCCATTTCATGGAGAGACCACAGTTAGCTTACTCATTCATCCATTGATGGATGTTTGGCTTGCTTCCGCTTTTGGCTATTGTGAATTATGCTGCTGCGAACACAGATGTGCAAATATCTCTTCAAGACCCTGCTTTCAGTTACTTTACATATATGCCCAGAAGTGGAATTCTGAATCATGTTGCTGTATTCCTTTTAATAGCTGCCTAGTACTCCATAGAATGTTTGTACCATCATTTACTACTTTAAATAGAATTCTTTACGCTGCCCATAACATAACGTAAGCTCCATATGAACAAACTGAAGCCACATGTTTGGCTTCATCAACTGGGAATGCTGGAGTGGGTTTGGTCGAAGCCTGGCTGGATCCAGCTGCATCCGTTTTCTCTCTTGCCTGCCTCTGTCTCTGCAATTTCCATCATTTCCTCTGTGTCCCTGCATGAGACTCAATCTCTGTGGGTGGGCCTCCTCTGCTTCTTTGGGGGAAAATCAGCCTCCAGCCCAGCTGGGCTTATGTCACCGCAGCAGAACTGCCATAGCCAGGGTCTTGGAGGCCTGTAAGGACTGGGCCTCAAACACACAGACAGTGGCCACAACAGTGTCCTATTGATCCCGTCCTATCTCCTGCTTTCTGTGGCGTCTGGCCCGCGTGAGAGCCACATGATCATTAGCCACAGGGACTAGTCATCGGAACTGAACCCCAAAGCCAGGCCTGAGCATTCCACTTAGCTCACATACACATCCTTTCTCCTTCCATTACACAGAAACCAGCCATCACGTGCACGGTGAGCACACGTGCTGGGCCAGGCTGCTTGCATGCCAGGCTCTGGAGTGAGTTATCTAGTTGCCGTAGACTGCGGGTAGTGCTGTAAAATGAACACGGTGAGCACACGTGCTGGGCCAGGCTGCTTGCATGCCAGGCTCTGGAGTGAGTTATCTAGTTGCCGTAGACTGCGGGTAGTGCTGTAAAATGAACACGGTGAGCACACGTGCTGGGCCAGGCTGCTTGCATGCCAGGCTCTGGAGTGAGTTATCTAGTTGCCGTAGACTGCGGGTAGTGCTGTAAAATGAACACGGTGAGCACACGTGCTGGGCCAGGCTGCTTGCATGCCAGGCTCTGGAGTGAGTTATCTAGTTGCCGTAGACTGCGGGTAGTGCTGTAAAATGAACACGGTGAGCACACGTGCTGGGCCAGGCTGCTTGCATGCCAGGCTCTGGAGTGAGTTATCTAGTTGCCGTAGACTGCGGGTAGTGCTGTAAAATGAACACGGTGAGCACACGTGCTGGGCCAGGCTGCTTGCATGCCAGGCTCTGGAGTGAGTTATCTAGTTGCCGTAGACTGCGGGTAGTGCTGTAAAATGAACACGGTGAGCACACGTGCTGGGCCAGGCTGCTTGCATGCCAGGCTCTGGAGTGAGTTATCTAGTTGCCGTAGACTGCGGGTAGTGCTGTAAAATGAACACGGTGAGCACACGTGCTGGGCCAGGCTGCTTGCATACAAGGCTCTGGAGTGAGTTATCTAGTTGCCGTAGACTGCGGGTAGTGCTGTAAAATGAACACGGTGAGCACACGTGCTGGGCCAGGCTGCTTGCATGCCAGGCTCTGGAGTGAGTTATCTAGTTGCCGTAGACTGCGGGTAGTGCTGTAAAATGAACACGGTGAGCACACGTGCTGGGCCAGGCTGCTTGCATACAAGGCTCTGGAGTGAGTTATCTAGTTGCCGTAGACTGCGGGTAGTGCTGTAAAATGAACACGGTGAGCACACGTGCTGGGCCAGGCTGCTTGCATGCCAGGCTCTGGAGTGAGTTATCTAGTTGCCGTAGACTGCGGGTAGTGCTGTAAAATGAACACGGTGAGCACACGTGCTGGGCCAGGCTGCTTGCATACCAGGCTCTGGAGTGAGTTATCTAGTTGCCGTAGACTGCGGGTAGTGCTGTAAAATGAACACGGTGAGCACACGTGCTGGGCCAGGCTGCTTGCATGCCAGGCTCTGGAGTGAGTTATCTAGTTGCCGTAGACTGCGGGTAGTGCTGTAAAATGAACACGGTGAGCACACGTGCTGGGCCAGGCTGCTTGCATGCCAGGCTCTGGAGTGAGTTATCTAGTTGCCGTAGACTGCGGGTAGTGCTGTAAAATGAACACGGTGAGCACACGTGCTGGGCCAGGCTGCTTGCATGCCAGGCTCTGGAGTGAGTTATCTAGTTGCCGTAGACTGCGGGTAGTGCTGTAAAATGAACACGGTGAGCACACGTGCTGGGCCAGGCTGCTTGCATGCCAGGCTCTGGAGTGAGTTATCTAGTTGCCGTAGACTGCGGGTAGTGCTGTAAAATGAACACGGTGAGCACACGTGCTGGGCCAGGCTGCTTGCATACAAGGCTCTGGAGTGAGTTATCTAGTTGCCGTAGACTGCGGGTAGTGCTGTAAAATGAACACGGTGAGCACACGTGCTGGGCCAGGCTGCTTGCATGCCAGGCTCTGGAGTGAGTTATCTAGTTGCCGTAGACTGCGGGTAGTGCTGTAAAATGAACACGGTGAGCACACGTGCTGGGCCAGGCTGCTTGCATACAAGGCTCTGGAGTGAGTTATCTAGTTGCCGTAGACTGCGGGTAGTGCTGTAAAATGAACACGGTGAGCACACGTGCTGGGCCAGGCTGCTTGCATACAAGGCTCTGGAGTGAGTTATCTAGTTGCCGTAGACTGCGGGTAGTGCTGTAAAATGAACACGGTGAGCACACGTGCTGGGCCAGGCTGCTTGCATACAAGGCTCTGGAGTGAGTTATCTAGTTGCCGTAGACTGCGGGTAGTGCTGTAAAATGAAAATGATGCTTCATGGGTTACTACAGGGACTACTTGTACAGTCCACATGGTGCATACAGCATAAGCACTGACACGCTGAGGAGGTTCCATCCAGGAGAGCTTTCATTATTATTCAGTAGAGAGGTCTGAGTCTTTCTAGAGCAATCCTTGAAGGTAAATTGGAAGGGTTTGGCCAGGCTCAGTATAGACCAATTTTCATCACAAGAGACTGAGACGACTCAGAGCAGGCTTTGAATTCACTTTGCAGAAGAGGGATCTGAGGCTCAGAGAGGCTGAGAGACGTAGCCAAGGACACACAGCAAATAAATGGCTCCAGTTGGAGTCCAGTTTTCCCTACTCCCCATCGATTATCTTATCTGCCACTCCAAAAACTCTCAGGATCTTAGGAATTCGGAGACTCTTGGCTTATCCAGGGTCTCAAGAGTTGATGGAGGGCAGGGCTGAATTTTGAACCCAGGTCTGTCTGATGATAAGACATTTCAGTCACACGGTGTGGCCTCCCTTGACAGCTCCCAGAAATGGCATCATGAGGGCGTGATTCTCTCCCTGAGAAAAGAAGGGGGTTCTGTACTCAGAAGCTTGGCGGGGATGGCTGACTTAGAAAAGTTTACTTCACACTTCTGGATAAAAGTGCAGGTCCTCTCCGTGTGCGCCGTTTACAAAGATTATTTATCACCACTTCTCACAAGTATGTACTTCGTTGATGACGTTGTGTCTTTTGAATTTTTTAGGACTTGCCCTATATGATTTGGCCCAACATGGAATGCTGTCACTTTGAGACTGCAGGTGAGTTTTTCTTCTGGTTGATGTTCCCCTGTCTCGAGCATGAAGGAACCAGAACCCTGAAGCCCTCCTTCCTCCAGCTCCCTCACCCTCTGCTGATGTTTCCAGCACCTCTCTGCTTTGAACAGGAGGTCATTCCCTGACCCTACGGAACCAGGGCTATGGGCCTCCTCCTCAGAGCTGGCTGGAGCGGCAGTGCACAGTGGAATCTGGGGTGAGGCAGGCCCTTTTGGATGTCCCTTGAAGGCATTTGGTGAATGAAACAGAACGTGTGAATTACCTGGGTGTATCCGTTTCCTGTGGCTTCCCTGATAAATGTTCACAAACTCAGTGGCTTCGGCCACACACATTTATTCTCTGACAGTTTTGGAGTGCAGAAGTCTGACACCAGTTTTGAAGAGGGAAATTAAATAGTAACAATGGTAGTCTGTAATTGCTACATAATAAAGTTTCCTGTGTTGTGTTCAACATAAAACCTAACTCCCAGCTCTGCTTGAAATTAACAACTCCCTGTAAAACCTACTTTATCTATTCTCCCCACATTCTCGGCAAAGTTCCCAGGCGTCTCAAGACTCCTGTTTTTCTTGCTGATCAGCTGCAAGGTCACAGGGCAAGACAACACCCAAGAATGTACGATGTGTTTCTCAAAATGCTATTTTTCAAATGTAACGCACATCACAAGGCATGTTACAAATTAATCAACTGTTTTTTGTTCTGGCTTCTGTAAACCTGTTAGCTGCTAGTCATTCTGGATGTATAAAAAGTACCCCATTTTCTTTCTCCTTTGCTCAGCCTTGCGATGCTAATCGGTTGAGCTGGTGGCCACCTTAGTAAAATCCTCTGTTTCACCCATTGATCTCTCCAGTCTCCTGAATATTCTGCAACAGTTTCACTAGCCAGAGTTACGGTGTCTGTCTGCCCCCTCTGGAGGTTCCAGAAGAGAGTGCATTTCCTCTCCTTTTCCAGCACCTGTGGCCGCGTTGCCTGAGTTCCTTAGAGGTGGATGAGGTTCCTCGGTTTTGGAAGCCAGCAGCATGGCATCATGCCTCAGTACTTAGTTGGTCTTATTCTCTTCTGTCAAATCTCTGTCTCTCTCTTCTAAGGACATCTGCGATGACATTTAGGGCCCGCCAGGATAATCCAGGCAATGGCAATCTCCCTGTCTCCAGGCCCTTCATTGAATCACATCCGCAAAGTATCTGCAACCCTAAGATAACATTCACAGGTTCGTGGGGTTAGGACCTGGCTGTCTTTGCGGACCTTTATTCGGCTTGCCATAATCACTGGTTGAAATTCAACTGACACTCATTTAAGTGAGAGGGAGTTGATTGGCGTCGGTAACTGAAATGCGCTGGACCCGGGAGCTTGAGGTTTTCAGTGTTCCTGTGGCTCTACCTTTCTCCCTCCGTCTCGGCCTCCCTGCTCTCTTCTGGTGAGCCTCCTTCTCAGGCAGGCACATCCTTTCCCTGTGGTGAGAAAGATGCCATAGGCAGTCCCCGGCTCCTGAGCCTGATGGCCGGCACCTGCAGCGCAGCCTTTTCCCAGCGGCTGTGGCAGTTCCATTGCAGACCTGTGGGCTCAGCGTGGGTCCCTGAACCTATCCCTGGGGACAGTGCATGGGGTTTTCTGGGTTCTGTGCCTATCTCTGGGGTCCTGGGGAATGGACTGGGATTGGGCTGAAATTCAGGTGGGCCCCACTTGGCTCTATAGACCGAGCCGGATTCTTGCTCAATAGAGGAGGGATCCTCTCTGAAGGGAGGGATTGCCTTGGAGTTTTCATTAAAGCTGAGGACCAGGAGAGCCACAGGGGCATAAATGGGTGGACCAGAGATGGCATGCGTGAGGGTGAGGTGTGGCCTGCAGATTTTATGTCCTCCATGCTGCTTCACAGGCGTTTGTGCCCTGGCCCCACGTGCTATGCTGGAGTCCGGAGGTGGACGTCCGGTCTCACTTGCACCCAAACTCCCTACCTGGACATTCCCGATGCTCTGAATCAGCCGCCGACCTGCTGGAGCACCCAGTTGTTTCCATGTTGAGGCCGTCAGTCCCCCGATGCTTGATGCAGTAGGAGCCCTTATGCCATCCCAACTGGAGGAATTGAATCACCCCTAGATAATACCCAAGGAAGGGAAAAAAATACTGGAATTTAATCTAGGACCCAGCTCCACATCTTTTTTATCAAATTTTAATTTTTTTCCCACACATATGTTGAAATGCTATAGGAGGTTTCAAAAGCACTTGTAAAGTCCTTACCATTAGTATATGGGTAGGAAAGACTGAGAAGTCATATTATTTTCAAACACCCAGTCAACGTAGTTTGCATCTGAATAGGAGATACATGTTGAAGGAGGCACAACTCCACCATCCAGGTCATTTCAAAACTCGAATTTCGGACTTGAAGCATTTGATATACTTGAGCACGTTCACGTGCAGTGTGGCATTTAATGGGCTGCTCAGACAACAACCCTGTCTGATTGGCATCTTAACCACACTCCCAGGGAAAGGGAACTGAGGCCCAGAGAACTCAGCTGACCCGTGCAAGGTCCCACAGCTGAGCAGCACCTGGGCCGCGTCCACTCAATAGGACCCTGACAGCCCAGCCAGGACCTTTTAAGTGACATTCCTGTGCTTTACACACAGGAATCTGTGTGTATCAACACAGAGAAACATCTAAGGGAGTCATTTCTTACCAGAGGGTTCAGCAGGCGTTTGGGTCTGGCCGTGCACACGTCCTCCTTAGGATAGTGGTTGACGGTGTTCACTGAGGTCTCTGCAGTAGGCAGGTGCTCAGCAGGACCTAGTCATGTAAGACCTGAGCTGTTCACCTCAGAATTAAGCAAATCGAGGTATAGAGAGGTTAGAGATTATGCCCAAGGACTCATAGCTGGAGGGGCAGAGCCAGCACTCGAGCCCAGGGCTGTCTAATATCATGTGTGTAAGAGTCACCTCAGGCAATTCTTGCCCAGTGGTTCTGATTCTCATGTGGGGCTGCACAACCCAGGTAAGGAGACCAGGCTTTGAAAAACGCTTGTCTTAAGCTCTGTAGCTTCCCAATTAGCATGTCTCGTTTTCCTGGCAGAGAGATGATATCATTAATTCATTAACTTACCCAGCACACAGTGGTATCATTCATTCATTCATTAACTTACCCAGCACACAATGGTATCATTCATTCATTCATTAACTTACTTACCCAGCACACATTTTTCCAGGTGCCTTCCACATTCCCTGGAGTCTGCCTCTAGAGGCTAAGCTCTATGTCTTACTGTCTGTCCGCATTACATAAGACATGTGCATTGCTGTTTTCCAGTGGAAGCACCACTTGGACTGAAACTGGACAAGAAAATGGAAGTGTGTATCCCACTGTCAACTTCTGCAGCCTCTAGTGGGCCCTGGGCTCATTCCTTTTTTGCTTTTATACCCTCCTGGCCTAAGAAGAACTTATTTAAAAGAGAGTCTCCGATAACACACCGCCTGGTAAGTAGTAAGTTCAGTAGTTTAACACAAATACCAGAAGTTGGAAAGAATCCAATTTTTGGCTGTTTATAAAATGACACAGGCTTTTGTTGCTTAAAAAAGCCTATTCCTCCTCTTTCACTAAACATAGTTATCATTGGGGAGCAAATCCATTTCTTTTTCCAAGGCCCTATTTCTGCCACACGATATACGGTATTTAGATGAAGAAGAGGTTTGAATCAGAGAATTAGGCTGTCTCTTCTGGTGTTTCCGAAGCAGGGAGTGGATTGTGCTTAAACCAGGCAGAATCACTCCCAGCTATTAAAGATGACTATGCCCATAAGAGCAGCAAGCATCTCACAAGCATTTCCTATGGGTCAGGCACATTTCCTGGGGTTAGCACTTTCTGTGCATAATCTCACTTGAGCCTCATTATGAGTTTCTTAAACAGTCGTATTTTCATTCTCATTTCACAGATGGGAAATTGAGGATTAGGGAGATTAAGAAACTAGTTCCATGTCCACAGGTGGAAGTGTTAGAGCCAAGATTTGGAGCCTCTTCTATAACCACTGCTCTGTGCTCTTGCTGTTGTTTTCTGTTCTGTTTTATGTAACATGGGTTCAGTGACTTAACATGGCATGAGAACCATTGAGCTTGGCCAATGAGCTACGATGGCCAGGAGCCCTTGTTTGGGCTCCCTGCTAAGTGGTGCTGTTGATTTCCTGGGGCTGCCATAACAAATGACCACAGACATTGTGGCTGAAAACAACAGGAATGTACTTTCTCACTGCTGTGGAGGCTGGAAGTCTGGAATCACAGTGCTGACAGGGCCACGTCCCCTCTGCAGGCTCTAGGGGAGGATGCTCCTGCCTCTTCCAGCTTCTGGTGGCTCTCAGGCCTTGCTTGGCTACGGCCATATTGCTTTACTCTCTGCCTCTGTCTGCGCTTGGCTTCTTCTGTGTCTGGGTCTTCTCTGTGTGCCACTTATAAGGACACTTGTCATTGCACGTCCGGCCCACCTGGATAGTCCAGGATGATCTCTTGAGATCTTAGCTTCATTATATCTGCAGAGACCTCTTTTCCAAATCAAGACACATTCACAGGTTCTGGGGATCAGAACATGGACATATCCTTTGGGGGCCACCACTGAACCCGCTCCTGGACTCGCTGTTCTTTCCAGTCCTCCCCAGTAACAGGTAACTCGTCACCACCTGGCAGGGCAGCAACCTGCATACTCAGTCGTCCCTTCTGCGCTTATTTGCCCCACAAGCTGTATCTATCAGTTACTGTTTACAAGATGCTATGTGAAGGTGAGAAGAAGAGAAAGCCAGGACCCTGCTTGAGGGCTTTGGCAAATTAATTCTCTTAGGGTCCCAGCATGTAAAAAAGGCATTTGGGTGGGTGTGTTCTTTGGAAAACTGCCTTTTTGTTGATTTTCTTCGCAATGAGAGGGTTACACTGTGGAGAGGGAATGCAAGCTGTGGAAAGATCACAGGATCTGGAGTCACACAGGCCTGGATAGAGTCTCGAGTGTCCTGCCTACATGCCCTTCAGCAAGGGACTTAACCTTTCTGAGCCTCCGTTTCCTCATATATAAAATGGGAGTGATAGAACTCATGTATGTAAAGTGATGGGTGCCATGCCTGGCCCTCAGTAAATGACAGACATTTTATGGCTTTTAGACCTAGTGTGGTGGCTCACGTCTGTCATCCCAGCACCTTGGGAGGCCAAGGCAGGAGGATCACTTGAGGCCAGGAGTCCAAGACCAGCCTGGGAAACATAGCAAGACCCCATCTCTACAAAAATAAAAAATAAATTCGCGTATGCTTATTCGTATCACCGAGAGCTGCTACAGTCCGTGACTCAGAGTACAGCTTGTCCCACTGCAGGTGACAGGTGCGCAAGGCAGAGAGTGGGTGTCATTGTCATCCAGCAAGGCGAGCTTCCTGGGTGAAGTCAGGGTCCAGTCCCCTGTCAAGGAGGCGTGTGGACACTGCAGGGGCCAGGGCCGTGGCAAGGGCAGAAATGAACAAACACTGGTTATTAGTACAAAGGGTAAGGAAACCTGGGGCTTCAAGGGCTGCAGGAGGCTTGTACTTGATGGGCGAACCTGGCTTTCCTTTGGAACCTTTTAATGGGAGCCATCTCAGGGCTGGAGGAGGCCAAGCCTGGGGGGATTCCCTATGTTGATGAGGGATCAAGCTCACAGAGGCCGCCCCCAGCTCCCAAACACACTGCCCTTTGTTCCAGAGCACCGTGGTGCACGCGTGTACTGAGTCAGCCCACACCTGGGAAGCATGTGGTGCATGTGAAATGATATCTTCTTTGGTCTGCTCACATCCCCCCTGCTGGTATGTCAGTCTGGGTTGGCTGAGTCCCTGTGACAACACGTGTCCCACACATGCACCCAGACTGGGAATACACGGCAGTGTAATCTCAAGTCCACATTCTTCTTTCCATAGGTTTTAATTTCCAATCCTTTAATGCTCTTTTAAAAGTAAGACTTCAAGATTACCTAAGGATTAGTAGCAATAATCTTTCTACCCGCCTGTAAAAATTTCATCATCTTGTACTTTTATTAACTATGTATAGCATGAAATAGTTCTCATTTTCTAATAACTTTTACATTTTATTGTAGTATGGGGACATTTCAAGAGAAGTTCAAGGGACTTCTGAGAATGGAGTAATTTTTCAGAAATGTGCACTGGTAAGTTTCCATTGGGGATTTATCTTTGAAGAGAAAATAATTGGATTTTGCCCAAATCGTTTTAATAGAGTCATGTATTTAAGAGCTGATAAATCATGGGCTTACCTACACAACTCTAGACACACAAGCAATGAATGCATAGCAAGGGCTCTGAGGTCTCATATGGTAACACTGCCACTGAGTTTTTTTGTTACAATTAAATAATTGTCATTAAAAATGCACAGTGATCGTTTAGAATGTATGATATACTGTCTTTCAGATTATAATTGTTAATATGATACCTGGCAGTTTTAAACATCGTTCGATGATTTTTAGGTCTTTAACCTTCCTAATCCCACAAGATGGTTACTAATCCCACATGGTAACCTTGTGTCAGGGGACTCCAGCACCTGCCTTAGGTTTAGTGATTTGCTGGAAAAACTTACAGAACTCAGAGAAGCCATTATGCTCAGTTACTGTTCATTACAGAGAAAGGGTCCAGATTAAGGTCAGGAGAGGAAAAAGGCGAATATTGCAGAAGCCAGGAGAGGCCAGCCGTGAGCTTCCAGTTGTCCTCGCCCGGTGGCTGAGTGGTGTGGACAGAGCTTAGTTCTCCCAGCAATGACGTGTGACAACGCGGATGGAGTGCTGTCAACTGGAGAAGCTCACTGGAGCCTTGCCGTCCAGGGTTTTTCTCAGACTCAGTCACATAGGCATGGAGCATCCAAGAGACTGACCTCAGTTACTCATTCTCCAGCCCCTCCAGGGGTCATTTCAGTACAGCAGGTACCAAGGTACCCACCACAGATCATTGGCATCAGCTATCTGGTAAAGTCTGAGGAATAAGGCATTTTAGAAAAAACCCACACTGTAATCAGGCAAGGATATTCCGCAGGCTTTAGAGGTTATCTCTCAGGAGCTGGTCAAGGGCCAGTCTTCTGTTGAATGTGGAGGATTTGCACAGCCCAAGCCTGCTGAGTTAAGCCTTCGCTGTGCCACCCTCATTTTATCACAGCCCCTCAGTGACATTGTTTGCCTTCCTGGATGCAGTCAGTGTTAGCAGTTTCTCATTTATCCTTCTAGAGACGTTTTCTGCCATACGCATGCAGGTAGAGGTGTGTGCACATGCATGTATACATATGTGCACCTTCTTTCCCCCACTTGGTTTTTTTCTTACATAGGTGGCAGTATATTACACACACCATTCTGAAGCTTGCTTTTATCACTTCTTACATTCCGGAGCTCACTCATCTCAGTATATACATTGCTTCCTTCTCTTTTTTCCAGCTACTGCTGCATCTACTTCAGCAGAGCTGGGGAGAAGGTGGTGCAGGGGGCTGGGAGACAAGGTTAGAGAGGGAGGCAGGGCAAGAGTGCAGAGCCCAGGTGATGAGCCTGCTGGGTGCGCCACTGGCTGGCTTTCAGTAGTAGAGCCATTGAGACACGTGCTGGGCAGAGGCTGAATGTGGGAGATGATCCGGGAGGCAGGTGAGCTGCTCAGGTCATTCCTGGAGATCAGATGACCATCAGAGACCCTGGGCTGAGGCTGAATCTTCAAAATAACTAAGTACCAAAGAGCCATTGTTTGCTTTTCTTGATAACGCCGGTTTTCACAATCTCCCCAACCTGACCGTTTCCACACTTGGACGTTTTTTCTTCTAAGATTCTCTGCAGGGATGATTTCACTGCATCTCAGTTTCTTTGAAATGGTCTCCAAGCAACAGCTTGGCAAGTGTGGGTAAAAACCCTCCTGGGGGTCTTTGAAATCACACGGAGCCTGATAAATTCCCAGAACCTCTTTGAGATGGTGCCACCCTCCTTCTTCCTGGAGACCTGATGTGCACAGGTTGGGCTCGTGCCCCATTTTAGGGTGCCGGGCTTGTCAGCAAATCTGCCCTCACGCCTTCTCCTCCTGCCCTAGGTGTCCGGGCCGAGCGAAGCACAGACAGCCCACATATGGCTGTTAGTTAACAACACCAAGACACCCTCGTCAGCCAACCTCTCAGAGCTGCTCTTGCTGGACAGCGTCGCTGGTCTCACCATTGGGGAATCCATCGGAAACAGAACCTCAGAAGGATTCCAGGCTTTTAGCAAGAAGTTTCTGCAAGGTAACAGCAGAGTGTTCTTCAGCCAGGGATGACAGATGAGAAGGTGTGCAGACCCTTCCAGGTGAATGTGCTCTGGGTCAGGCACGTTCTGCAAGCCTTACAGGTGTTCACTCACTTCATCCACATGGTGGTGCTTACTACCAGGGTATCAGAAGAAGAGACTGTGTTCAATATCTGTCACCAAAAAGCTGCATTTCTCATTTACCTTAGAGAGATGTTGGATTTGGGCAAGAGTTGTGGGGGATTTTTTATTTTATTTTATTTTTTTGCTGAGATGGAGTCTCTCTCTGTTGCCAGGCTGGAGTGCAGTGGCATGATCCTGGCTCACTGCAACCTCCACCTCCTGGGTTTAAGTGATTCTCCTGCCCCAACTTCCCAAGTAGCTGGGACTACAGGCCCACACCACCAAATCCAGCTAATTTTTGTATTTTTTTTTTTTTATTAGAGACGGGGTTTCACCATGTTGGCCAGGATGGTCTCGATCTCTTAACTTTGTGATCTGCTCGCCTCAACCTCCCAAAATGCAGGGATTACAGGCTTGAGCCACCATACCTGGTCTAGAATTTTAAAAAACATACAGTCAATTTTTATCATGAAAAATTTCAAACATACACAAAGATAGAGTTTACAGTGAATCCCAGTATACCTGTCACTCAGATCACCAAAATGACCATCACTCAGGAAGAGGAAGAGTCTGTTTTGGGTTGTGCTGGACAGAGTGGGAGTGGGTTGACCTCCGTCTCAGCAGCATGTTCCTGAGATGTCCAGGTGCATCCAGGCATGTTCAGGCATGTTCACCGGGGTAACTCCACTTCTGCTTGGTTGGCTTGTAGACCATGCCACCCTCACTGGTTGGCTTTCAGAGGTTCGTTCCCTGAGCTGGGCTGTTGTTGGTCAATGAAGCAGGTTGAAAACCACTTCTGGGATTCAGGGGGTACCGTGGCTTCAGAACTCGGTCTCGCTAGAGGGCAAAGACCTCTTTTCTTCTTAGTAGGACCTCATTTACAGATGAAGAGGCTGGAGCTGAAGTGGCTGAGAAGCTTGCCCAGTGCCATGGGGCTGGCTGTGGTCAAGGCTGACAGTCACACTCAGGCAGTCTGGCTCCCCCGTGCACCCTGGTACCCATTAAACCATCATGCTTCTCACACACCTGGAACTCTTACCAACTCCATGCGTCCATACTCATGACGCACAGTGCTCACTGGCCATGCCGCTCCTTCCCTCGGAGCTTAGATGAGGCTGCAGAATCCCTTTGTACGCACTGTCATCGACAGAACCTACTCGTGGAGCTTGTCCACAAGTAGTGACCTTTTTGCTGGCTCTGATTTAAATAATGCCATGAAAGTTGTTATGAGACGTCCCAGCGAAGTGACCTTCAGTGCTTTCTTGCCTTCAATGATATAAAAATGAAGCCAGGTATGGTGGCTCACATCTGTAATCCCAGCATTTGGGAGGCTGGGGTAGGTGGATAACCTGAGGTCAGGAGTTTGAGACCAGCCTGGCCAACATGGTGAAACCCCATCTCTACTAAAAATACAAAAATTAGCTGGGTGTGGTGGCCACACCTATAATCCTAGCTACTCAGGAGGCTGAGGCAGGAGAATTGCCTGAACCTGGGAGGCAGAGGTTGCAGTCAGCTGAGAACACACCATTGCACTCCATCCTGGGTGACAGAGTGAGACTCCACCTCAAAAAAAAAAAAGAATCCACTATTCTTAAACTCATGTTCAAAGAATGGAGCATGGGGCCATGAGCAGAGCACAGAGACAGCCTCAGACGGACCTGATTGACTCCCAGCCTGGAGACAGCAGCTACATGGCTTCTGGAAAGCTATTGAAGTGCTCTGGTTGTGTGAATATCAGTCCATTGTGGAGCTGTAGAGATTGAATCAAGGAGACAGTGTCACCCAGGCACTCTGCCTGGTAAAGGGAAGGTGTCCAACACCCCCTCCAGCCTGTGGTCCTGTAGCACCAGCCTCTGTCATCTCATTTCCCCGCTGACCATTCATGGTCTGTGCTCCTGCCAGACCCAGCTTCCTACCCTTCTCCTGTCTCCTAGCATCTACTCTTGCTCTTGTGTGGGCCAGGAAAGCACCTCTCTCCACTCTGAATATACAAATCATCTCCCTTCTTTGGGACCTGGCCCTGGTGTCACCTTTTCTAGAAAGCCCTACCCAATCCCCTGCCCCAAAGTCACCCCTGTGCCTCCAAACTCCCACTGAGACTCGCCTGCCCCTTCCTGCTTCCCTGCTTGGAGCCTAGTGGCATTCTAGGCACTCTCCACACATGAACTCATGGACTTCCGCTCTGGCACGTGCACACTGTGTCTCTGAACCATGGCTCTCCGTCTCTCCCCTGGGTACGCCAATAATACCTACCTATGAAGGCGCTGTGAGGGTAAGGGAGTTAAAGCAGTGTGGCCTGGCCCGGCCTTGGAAAGTGCTCCTAGGCTCCTGGTGTTAGTAGATATTTTATTGATGGTTTTGTTTGTTTGTTTGAGACGGGGTTTTGCTCTTGTCACCCAGGCTGGTGCAATCTTGGATCACCGCAGCCTCCGCCTGCCAGGTTCAAGCAATTCTTGTATTTTTAGTAGATATGGGATCTCACCCTGTTGGCCAGGCTGGTCACGAACTCCTAACCTCAGGTGCTCCACCTGCCTTGGCCTCCCAAAGCACTGGGATTAAGGCGCGAGCCACTGCGCCGGCCGTAGTTGGTGTCATTTTTATTCCTGTCGCTCCATGCTTGTTATTCATGCCCGTGCTCAGCTCTACGTACTGGGCTCGGCGTTCCCTGAGGACAGTGTCCAAATCGTATTTATCTGTGAACTCACTGCTATGCCAAAGAATGCGACATTGATTTTCACCTTGGGGCACAGGTGACTTTTTTCCCCTTAAAGCATAAGTAGATAACTGTAAATTCAGATGACCAGTCAGGCCCAGTTCATTAACATTCTGACCTCATCATCATTATTATTTGATGCTTTTCTTTGATTAGAGCCACCATCGTTTGGGGAAAAGATGATGGGACCCAGAGGGCCAGTGCTCCCTGTGCATCAGTGGGGTGATCCTAAGCCAGTTACTGTCTCTCAGTCTCAGATTCCTCTTCTGTATGTCGCAGAAACTCACGTGTTCTCCATCTGTCTTGCACAGTGTGTGGGGATCAGCTGGGTTAATGCAGTGATCAGATCACTGTGTGAGGAAAGTCTGACTGCGTCTGCCTTCCCCGTCATTGTCACTACCATGATCTTTATCACTTTAAGGTCATTATCTTAGCTTTTATCCACATATAAAAATAAAATGAGATGGGCGTGGTCTACACCTAAAGTCCCAGGAGGCTGAGGCAGGAGGATCGCTTGAACCTGGGAGTTCGAGACTAGTTTGGGCAACAGAGAGAGCTCCTGTCTCAAAAATAAATAAAAATTTAAAAATGAAAATGTTGAGGATTTTTAAAACAAAAATTCCAGTGATTCCTTAGGCTAAGTGAGTGTTCTTCCTCTTTACTATATATATAATATGTGTGTATATATATATATATGTATATATCTGAGGTCTGTATACCTTGAGAAATGAGGCATATGGTAGCAATTTAGGGCTATAGGTAACCTTGGTTAGGGAGAAAGGCAAGCTAGGAGGGCAAGCTTAGGTAAGAACAGTGACTGGTAGAGTTAGACGGGCTCCGTCACCCACCTGACCACGTTGAGCGAAGGCCTCCGGTCCTGTTACAGCATCTCCCAAGCAGGACAGGCTGAGCGCAGCCCACCCAGACTTATTCATGGAATGAGGCCTGCTGCACAGTGAGAAAGGGCTGGGAGAGCCAGCCCTGTTGCGGGTCGTGCACCCCAGCTCGTGACAGGAAGCACCAGGACGAGGAGTCCGCCTAGCTCACTCTCCCCAGTTTACCATTCAGAGAAGTCCCTCCCCACACTCAGGTGTGTGCAATACAAACTACTTCCTTGCTGCAGGCATCACTGCCATGGTGGCCTCCCTTGGAACCACTGACGCCAGAGGCCAGGATGCGTCTGGGGTGTGGTGGGGTGTGGCTGGGGGGTGGGGCCAAGCCCTCCCTGACTCACAGGTGCTTTTCTCTGCACAGTGGGAGATGCCTTTGCCGTCAGCTACACAGCCACGCTCCAGGCTGGAGACATCTGGAATGGAGAAAGCCTCAAACTTCCTGCCCAGCTCACCTTTCAGAGCTCGTCACGGGTATTACCTTTGTTACTTTAATCTCTGTCTTGTCACTGCCAAGAGAGGTTGTTTTAGAAACAGGGACACTTTGGGCAGAAGACCTCTTAGTTTCTTTCTTCATTCAGGGATGCCACCTTGCAGAGACGGGCATAGGCCCTGGAGTCTCCTCACACCTTGCCAGGAATCTGGCTCCCTTAGTCATGCCCATATGACCTTGCCTAAGTTACTTAAGCCCTCTGAGCCTCACATGAGGTTATTATAAAAACAGGTGATCAATACATGTCAATTTCTCATCCCTGTGTCCTGCACCCTGTAAGCACCTAACTGGTAGTTACCATTACTATTAATTTTCCAGGGCTGCCATAACAAAGTACCACAGGCTAGACTTAAAAGCTAAAGAAATGTAATTTCCTTGCAGCTGGAAGCCGGAGATCAGGGTGTCTGCAGGTCTGATTCCCTCTGAGCCTGTTCTTGGCTTCCAGAGGCTGCCTTCTCCCTATTTCTTCCTAAGGGCTTCCCTGTGTACGCATCTGTGTCCTAGCCTCTTCCATGAGGACACCAGGCATGCAAGACCAGGACCCAGCCCGGTGACTTCCCTTTACCTTATTACCTCTGTAAAAACCCTGTCTCCAGACACAGTCACACCCTGGGGCACTGGGACTTAGGACTTTAACATAGGAATTTTGGGGAACACAGTTTGGCCTATAACACCATTATAGTGAGTCTCTCCATCTCTCACTTCCCCTGTGGTGAGTTCACTTCTGCAGTGAACACTGGCTGTCTGCTCGATTGGCAGGTGCTGCAGGCCCTGGGTACAGGCTCGGGGGGCATGTGGTCCCTAACTTCAAAACGATCAGGATGCTCTGCTTCCTTTTGTCATTTTATTGTGGTTTCAGCCCCTGGAGAAGGTCTTCCCTATTCACAGACATGGAAGATGCGGCTCATAGCATGACTGTGACTGCTCCGGGTCACATAACAGAATCAAATTGTGCCCTGCAGCCTCCTCCTCAGGCCTCCTTCTACCCTTGAGGCTGCAAGGCCAATGTGGCATTTCTGCAGCAATAAGGGGGACAAAAAAAATCAAAAAACACCTTAGATAAATTTATATAAAATGAAAGAGGCTAAATACAAGATACAAGAAGATGACATAAACCTGTTGGGAATGACAAGTCTCTTAGGAAATAATTCAGTATAAAGTAAAAAAGAGGACAAAGACAGATTTTTAAATTAGGGATAAAATGGCCCAGAATAAATACCAGCAATTTCAGAAGACAGGAAACCAAGTAAATTAAAATCAAAATGTAAGATAAGGTAAGAATCAGAAAGCAAATCAAAAACTCTCAATAAAATGAAAGGGATGGAAGCTTCCGTGTCCTCAGGCAGGAGCCTCGGGAGCTGCAGCCCTGGGCAGCTGTGTGTACTCCTGGGCTGTGTTGGCTAGGCAGCGGGAGGCTTCTGGTTTGGCACAGCCTGGCTCCCTGCATGCTCCCGGGTGACCTTTCTTGTGGCTTCCCCTGCTACGTCCTGAAATAGTCCCACCTGTTCCTTTGTTTGGTTCCTGTCTGTGATATTGACTCTACCCCCTAGGAATCCCCTTCATCCCTCACTAGAATGTCAGCTCCATGAAACCAGGAACCTCGTGTATCCTATTCACAGCTACGTCTCCAAGAAAGTGACATAAACCTGTTGGGAATGACAAATGCACGTGATGGGCACTCAGTAACAATGTGTTCATTCCCCCTTGGTCCATGTTTTCTGGCTTCATGCTAGGAATTCAAACGCACGTCTCAAGCCTTGAAGTCTGTGTGGTAACTGCATACCTTTACCGGGGTGAGGCTTTGTGGTGTTTTGTTTTGTTTTTTGATAGAGTCTCACTCTGTCACCAGGCTGGAGTGCAGTGGCACAATTGTGGCTCACTGCAACCTCCACCTCCAGGGTTCAAGCGATTCTCCTGTCTCAGCCTCCTGACTAGCTGGGACTAGAGGCATGTACCACCACATCCAGCTAATTTTTTTTTTTTTTATCTCTACTAAAATTTTTAAGTAGAGATGAGGTTCACCATGTTGATCGGGATCCACTCGATCTCTTGACCTTATGATCTACCTGCTTAGCCTCCCAAAGTGCTGGGATTACAGGTGTGGGCCACCGCGCCCAGCCGAGGATTTATGTTTTGCAAATGGTTGAAGGCAAGCTTTGATAGCACACTTTAGGCTCCTATCTGTGTAGACCTTGGGTATGAGAAAGCACAGGAAGTGGGGAACACAGCAGAATGTACTGGCATGTGGGCTCTGAACTTGGCCTCGGCTCCAGCTCAGGAGACCCTGAGACTCCAAGGCACCAGACGTATTCCAAAGGAGAGGCAAGTCCAGGGCAGAAAAGGCCAAGTGAATGCCTCAGAGGTGTCTCTTCTTTAAAGAGTCATATTCTAAAGCTGTTCCATTTCCCTCCTAGGGAAACAGGACATACAGTATTTTTATTTTCTCTGAAGCCTCCATGAGGTTGGCCTGCTGGCCCACAATGGATTTGGGAAGTCCCACTGCTTCCTCGCCTGCTGCCGTAACATCTGCAGGGCGTGGCGTGGATCAGGGGATTTGTTACCTTGGGAGGAGCATAGCTCAAGTTACAGAAAAATGCTTTAGTCGTGTCTGTAATGAGAATTATACAGGTTACTCAGCTCACTAGGCTGCAGGCTCCTAGTCCTAAGGTCCGGTTCTTTTTGTTTGTTTGTTTGTTTTCTGAGACCGAGTTTCACTCTTCCCACCCAGGCTGGAGTGCAATGGTGTGGACTGGGCTCACTGCAACCTCCACCTCCTGGGTTCAAGCCATTCTCCTGCCTCAGCCTCCCGAGTAGCTGGGATTATAGGCATCTGCCACCATTCCTGGCTAATTTTTGTATTTTTAGTAGAGATGCGGTTTCACCACATTGGCCAGGCTGACCTTGAGCTCCTGATCTTGGGTGAGCCACCTGCCTCGGCCTCCCAAAGTGCTGGGTTTGCAGACATGAGCCACCGCTCCCAGCAGGTCTGATTCTATATAATGGTAATACTGCTTCTATTATTGCTATTGCTTTTTTAAACATTTGTTATAATGATTATTTTCGATACAGAGTTTCATTCTTGTTACCCAGGGTGGAGTGCAATGGCGCGATCTCAGCTCATTGCAGCCTCCACCTCCCAGGTTCAAGCCATTCTCCTGCCTCAGCCTCCCAAGTAGCTGGGATTACAGGCGCCTGCCACCACACATGGCTAATTTTTGTATTTTTTAGTAGCGATCAGGTTTCTCCATGTTGACCAGGCTGGTCTTGAGCTCCTGACTTCAGGTTATCCGCCTGCCTTGGCCTCTCAAAGTGCTGGGATTACAGGTGTGAGCCACCACACCTGACCTGCTATTGCTACTTCTACTGCTGCTACCGCTAATATTACTATTACCAGCTACTGCCACCAACAGCAGTAATATTTTATAGCACCCCCTAGTGCCAGGCACTCTTCAGGGTTCTGTATTATCTAACTTAATCCTCACAGCAGTTCTGGGAATTAAATATGATTACCATTTCACTGATGAGAAAATAGAGACAGAGAGGCTAATACCTTGCCCAAGGTACAACTGTTGGTGAGCAGTGGAGTCCTGTATGAACTCGGACAGCCTGGCCCTAGCTACCACCGTATATACTGCCTGTCAGTTGCAAGCTCTTCTGCCTCTACACCCAGGAAGAAGCGTGTTCTCATGTTGGGTATCCTCAGTCACCATGCGGTTAGACAGGTGGAATGCCATAATACGCTTCATTTTTCTGTTTTATGTATCTTCTCAGCAGAGGAATATTGGAGAGCATTAGGAATTGACCCACAGGGAGTTGAGGTTTGGAGAATCACATGCATTGGAGGGAGAGAAGAACGGTGCAGTCCAGTCAGAGTCCAGGATTCTGTCTACCTTTGTGAAGGAGGCAGATGCTGAGAGGGTGGAGGTGACCTACCCTGGTCATGGGCTTGGAGTCAGCGCCCCACCCCAAGGGTTTCTCCACAAGGGCATGCTGCCGTGACTTTTTTGGATGTTAGCGAGCCTGGTGTTTGGATTTCACACAGCCTCCAGTAGAGAGGGAGGGATCCTAAGCCCACAGGCCCTTCTCTCGATGGTGCAACCTTCACAAGCTCTGGCCTGTGCAGCAGTTAGGGCCACCTCTAGCTCCAGGCTTGGTGGGTTGGAAATCACACCAAATGTTACCCCACATGTCAGACCCCAAACTGTTGCTGAAGGTGTTTTCTTTTTTCCTTTTCTAGAATAGAACACAGCTGAAAGCACTTTTTACCATAACAGCAGAAGAAAACATAAGGGTAAGAGAAATGACACGACCTGAACACCCCCGCCTTATATCTGTGTCTCTTCACACCCATGCTGTGTGGGTCTCCTGCCTGTCCTTGGTGCTGTGGGGAGGGGCCAGCTGCTGGCCTTGGTACCCCAGTTCCTATGTGCCCTGAGCCTGCCTCACTGGTTTCCCTGGACGACCCTCTACCTGGGCAAGGCAGGTCGGCCACAGGCTGGACAGGCTGAGGCTCCACTGCCTGTCTGTGCTGCTGTCCAGCCATGATCCTACTTGTGCCCAGCGTTTGCCACTAGGTTAAGCTTTCGGTCACATTTTGTCTTCCCAGATCTTCACAAAGCCTGCCGTCTGTGGGCAGGCCTCTCTGCTTCAGCTGTTCCCCACGAATACGTCTCCATTTCTGTTCTTCAGTGTCCTCATTTGTAGCTCACACGTTCACTCATTCCTGTATTCACCAAGTGTTAATTCACCAGGTAACAATACTTCACGTTTCTTAAACACCTACTGGGTGCCAGGCATTCTAAGCAATTTAGGTATGTGGAATCACATCGTCTTTACCACAGTCTTGTGAGACAGATTCTGTTTTAAAATCACTGCCATTTCAGATGGGGAAACCAAGGCACACTAAAGTGAAGTCATTTGCCCAAGATCCCATGGTTAGAATGTCAGAGTCCCCAAGACCCACCCCGGGTTCAACGATTCCCTAGGGTGACTCACGGGAATGACATATACAGTCATGCGCCACCTAATGACATTTTGGCGAACAACGTCATTGAAGTAAAATTTCAATGCTGCGAAAGAAATCACATGAATCAGCCTGGCCGACATAGTTTATGTCTATAGAAGGGTGCACCTCAAGGATGGAGCGATGGTGAGCACACACCTGGACAAGGGAGGAAAAGGGGTACTTACCCTGACGGAGGTTGCCGCTACTGCTGTGTCATTCCCCTGTTGGCTAGGGTTAGACCGCACAGGCTGGACTAATCCTGATTGGCTGTTTTAAAGAGAGCAGGGGTGCGAGCTGGAGTGGCAGGGTGGGTGGTTTGGTGAGAAGGATGGTTACGGGCAGGTCAGAGCATGTAGCCAGGGGTGACCTAGGTCAAAGCAGGTGACCAGGGCAGGTGACCGAAGCAGGTGACTGAGATGAGTCAGGATGGAGATGGGGACCAGGGGACAGATGTGAACTACTGATTAGAACTGGTGGAAAAGGTTGTTTACTGAAACTACAAGGAAATTAATCTTTAAAATGGAGGACAAAGAACTGGACATACTGACATGCTGATTCTTTGAAGAACAATGTAGAATTCATTGTATCCAATAAATTCACGGCATATGTGAAGGTGGTCCCCTAAGATTGTAATGCAGCTGAAAAATTCCCATCATCCAGTGATGATGTAGCTGTGTACCGTCTGCTGATTCTTTGAAGAACAATGTAGCATTCATTGTATCCAATAAATGGACGGCATATGTGAAGGTGGTCCCCTAAGATTGTAATGCAGCTGAAAAATTCCCATCATCCAGTGATGATGTAGCTGTGTACCGTCCATCATAGCACAGTGCATTATGCACCTGTTTGGTGATTCTGGTGTGAAACCTGTGCTGTCAGTCATAAAAAGTCTAGCACGTACAATTATGTACAAACATAATACTTGATAATGATACTAAAAGACTGTTACTGGTTTACGTATTCACTATACACACTTTTTATTGTTATTTTAGAGTGTATTCCTTCCACTGATCAAATCCAAAGTAAACTTACCTATAAATCAGCCTCAGGCAGGTCCGTCTGGAGGGATCTAGAAGAAGGCATTGTTATCCTAGGAGATGGCAGATCCATGCCTGTCATTACCCTGAAGACCTTCCAGTGGGACAAGGCGTGGAGGCAGAAGGGCAGGGATGTTGGTGATCCTGACACTGTGTGGGTCTAGACTAATGTGTGTGTTTGTGTCTTAGTTTTTAACAAAAAAGTTTAAGAAGTTTTTTTTAAAAAATCTGAGAAATATAGAAAGTTTACAGAGTAAGGATATAAAGAAAGGAGCTATTTTTGTACAGCTGTACAATGTGTTTGTGTCTTAAGCTGTGTTATCACCAAAGAGTCCAAATGTTAAAGAATAATGAAAACGTAATAAAGTCCCAGGGAGGGGAACATCACACACTGGGGTCTGTTGGCGGGTAGGAGACAAGGGGAAGGAGAACATTAGGACAAATACCTAACGCATGCAGGGCTTAAAACCTAGATGGCGGGTTGGTAAGTGCAGCACATCGGCAAGGCACATGTATACTTACGTAACAAACCTGCACATTCTGTACATGTATCCCAGAACTTAAAGTGAAATTACATAAAGTTAATAAGTCATAGTAAGCCAAGATTAACTTATTACTGAAGAAACTTACACAGCGTGTGCTTTTTAAATAAATTTAGTGACCAGGCACAGCGGCTCAGACCTGTAATCACAGAACTTTAGGAGGCCAAAGTGGGCTGATGACTTGAGGCCAGAAGTTCAAGATCAGCCTGGCCGACGTAGCAAAACCCATCTCTACTAAAAATACAAAAGAATTAGCTGAGCGTGGTGGCCCGTGACTGAGATTCCACCGGCTCAAGGCTGAGACATGAGATTTGCTTGAACCTGGGAGGCGGAGGTTGCAGTGAGCTGAGATCACGCCACTGCACTCCAGACTGGGCAACACAGTGAGACTCTGTCTCAAATAAAATGAATAAATTTAGCGTAGCCTGAGGATGCAGCGTTTCTAGTGTCGACAGTAGTGTCCAGTAGTGCCTAGGCCTTCACATTCACTCAGCACTCACTCACTGACTCGCCCAGAGCAACTTCCAGTCCCAAAAGCTCCAGTTACGGTCAGTTTCCTATACAAGTGCATTTTGTTTTTTTTTTCTTTCGTACATATTTTTCTTTTCTTTCTTTTTTTTCTTAGACGGAGTCTTGCTCTGTCACGCAGGCTGGAGTGCAGTGGTGCATTCTCAGCTCACTGCAACCTCTGCCTGCCAGATTCAAGTGATTCTCTTGCCTCAGCCTTCCGAGCAGCTGGGATTACAGGCACCCCTCACCACATCCAGCTAGTTTTTGTATTTTTAGTAGAGACAGGGTTTTACCACTTTGGCCAGTCTGGTCTTGAACTCCTGACCTCAAGTGACTGTACCACATCAGCCTCCCAAAGTGCTAGGATTACAGGCTTTGGTACCTTTTCTATACTTTGATCTATTTATACATACAAATCCTTAGCATGTGTTACAGTTACCTACAGTATTCAGTACAGTAACATGCTGTACAGGTTTGTAGCCTAGGAGCAATAGAATATAACATAGAGCATAGGTGAGTAGTAGGCTAGATCATCTAGGTGAGTATAAGTCACGCTATGATGTTTGCAAAATGAGGAGATCACCTAACAGTGCATTTCTAGGAACATCTGTCCATCGTTAGGTGATGCATGCCTGTAGTTGTACCCACTGCTATGACTTACTACAGTGAAAAGATACAAAGCAAAATCAGCACAGGGAAAAGGTGCATGGGGAGAAGCTTGAAGAAAATCACCTGCAAGTTTTTTTGTTTTGTTTTTTTTTAGACAGAGTCTTGCTCTGTGGCCCTGGCTGGAGTACAGTGGTGTGATCTCAGCTCACTGCAGCCTCTGCCTCCTGGGTTCAAGCAATTCTCCTGCCTCAACCTCCTGAGTAGCTGGGACTGCAGGTGCATGCCACCATGCCCGGCTAATTTGTTGTTTTTTAGTAGAGATGGGGTTTCACCATGTTGGCCACGATAGTCTCCATCTCCTGACCTTGTGATCCGCCCACCTGGGCCTTCCAAAGTGCTGGGATGCAAGTTTTAAGAGTCCTCTCCTAGTGGAGTCACAGGGGGTATGCTTCATTCCCCCAGCATGAGTTCTGGTGACACATGTGAAGTATTGTCTACCAGGAAAGCTCCTTAGAGACTCAGTGCCAGAATTTTTATTGGGGGCTGGCCATGTAGACACTCTCTGCCTGGCATATACCAAGATTCCAGACTCACAGAAGGAAAGCAGGTGCTCAGCATAAGCCACACTGTGTGCACAGACAGTTTGAAAACGGAGAGCCACTCTAACCAGAAAATAGTGGAAACCCTCCCAGAACCCGTGTTCCCAGACGTAAGCTGAGGCCCAGCCTTACAGGAAGGGATTTCAGAGGATGGCAGTCTTTGGCTGAAGTTGTTCACTCTTTTCTGAATGGCTAGTAAATGGCAGGACTCAGATTTGAACCCAAGCAGTTTGGCTCCAGAGCCCTGCTGTCAGGCACTGGGCCACACTGCCTCCCAGAGAGCCAGAGGCCAGCCATAGAAGAGAGGAAGAGAGAGTACAAGGCTGGCCTTGGGTGAGTGTTCCATTTAGTGGGACCATCAGGTGCCCTGGGTAACAGTCTCCCTGGTGGACTGTGAGCTCCTGGCAGTTGAGGCCATGTCAGATTCACCCATGTCCCCCACTGTGTGGCACGTTGTAGGTGGCACTCAATGGGTAAATATCCCGTGATTGAGCTTATTGTCGTCAGTGGCGAGGATTGCTGCTCAGGAGGAGGTGCCTGGTTGCTGCGTGAGTGTACTGAAAGGCAGAGAACACTCACCGAAGGGTATTTCTGAGCTGCCACAGGCTCCCTTGTGGATGGAGTTGAGCCATGCCCACGTCTTTCAGGCTTCCCGTCACCTGCATGTTGCCTTCAGGAGAAAGAGGAATAGTTGCCCCTGGGATGCAGACCTGTGGATGCAAGGCGTGGCCATGGAGCTGGAGCTGGAGCTGGATTTCAGCCACACCAGCCCACAGGACGGGCGTTCCTGGGCTGTGGACCGCGTTCAGGGAGCGCTCTCTTGAGTGGGGAGAGGAGGTGTACACACAGGGTGGACCATAAAGCCTGGCTCTGAATCCCTGTCCCTCCTCTGATTGTATGTGACCTCGGGCAGGTCACTTACCTCTGAGAGCCTCAGTTTCCCCAACTGTGAAACGAGAGTCATAACAATATTCACTTCATAGGGTGGT